ACGAGATTCCAGCTCTTTTTGCCTTCAAACGGGCCCGCCGCATGAAGAACCGTCCCCATATAAGGGCTTTTGTGAGCCCGGGAAGCTGCGAAATCCGTACCGGTAGAAAATGTGAAGCAATGTTACTCGGATCATGGACCGCCCAGCACGATCGTGTTTGCCACAATCCTAGATACCATGGGACGAGATTCCAGCTCTTTTTGCCTTCAAACGGGCCCGCCGCACGAAGAACCGTCCCCATATAAGGGCGTTTGTGAGCCCGGGAAGCTGCGAAATCCGTACCGGTATAAAATGTGAAGCAATGTTACTCGGATCGTGGACCACCCAGCACGATCGTGTTTGCCACAATCCTAGATACCTTGGGACGAGATTCCAGCTCTTTTTGCCTTCAAACGGGCTCGGTGCATGAAGAACCGTCCCCATATAAGGGCGTTTGTGAGCCCGGGAAGCGGCGTAATCCGTACCGGTATAAAATGTGAAGCAATGTTACTCGGATCATGGACCGCCCAGCACGATCGTGTTTGCCACAATCCTAGATACCTTGGGACGAGATTCCAGCTCTTTTTGCCTTCAAACGGGCCCGCTGCATGAAGAACCGTTCCCATATAAGGGTGTTTGTGAGCCCGGGAAGCTGCGAAATCCGTACCGGTATAAAATGTGAAGCAATGTTACTCAGATCGTGGACCGCCCAGCACGATCGTGTTTGCCACAATCCTAGATACGTTGGGACGAGATTCCAGCTCTTTTTGCCTTCAAACGGGCCTGCCGCACGAAGAACCATCCCCATATAAGGGCATTTGTGAGCCCGGGAAGCTGCGAAATCCGTACCGGTAGAAAATGTGAAGCAATGTTACTCGGATCATGGACCGCCCAGCACGATCGTGTTTGCCACAATCCTAGATACCTTGGGACGAGATTCCAGCTCTTTTTGCCTTCAAACGGGCCCGGTGCATGAAGAACCGTCCCCATATAAGGGCGTTTGTGAGCCCGGGAAGCTGCGAAATCCGTACCGGTACAAACTGTGAAGCAATGTTACTCGGATCATGGACCGCCCAGCACGATCGTGTTTGCCACAATCCTAGATACCTTGGGACGAGATTCCAGCTCTTTTTGCCTTCAAACAGGCCCGCCGCACGAAGAACCGTCCCCATATAAGGGCGTTTGTGAGCCCGGGAAGCTGCGAAATCCGTACCGGTACAAAATGTGAAGCAATGTTACTCAGATCATGGACCGCCCAGCACGATCGTGTTTGCCACAATCCTAGATACCATGAAGAACCGTTCCCATATAAGGGTGTTTGTGAGCCCGGGAAGCTGCGAAATCCGTACCGGTATAAAATGTGAAGCAATGTTACTCAGATCGTGGACCGCCCAGCACGATCGTGTTTGCCACAATCCTAGATACGTTGGGACGAGATTCCAGCTCTTTTTGCCTTCAAACGGGCCTGCCGCACGAAGAACCATCCCCATATAAGGGCATTTGTGAGCCCGGGAAGCTGCGAAATCCGTACCGGTAGAAAATGTGAAGCAATGTTACTCGGATCATGGACCGCCCAGCACGATCGTGTTTGCCACAATCCTAGATACCTTGGGACGAGATTCCAGCTCTTTTTGCCTTCAAACGGGCCCGGTGCATGAAGAACCGTCCCCATATAAGGGCGTTTGTGAGCCCGGGAAGCTGCGAAATCCGTACCGGTAGAAAATGTGAAGCAATGTTACTCGGATCATGGACCACCCAGCACGATCGTGTTTGCCACAATCCTAGATACCTTGGGACGAGATTCCAGCTCTTTTTGCCTTCAAACGGGCTCGGTGCATGAAGAACCATCCCCATATAAGGGCGTTTGTGAGCCCGGGAAGCGGCGTAATCCGTACCGGTAGAAAATGTGAAGCAATGTTACTCGGATCATGGACCGCCCAGCACGATCGTGTTTGCCACAATCCTAGATACCTTGGGACGAGATTCCAGCTCTTTTTGCCTTCAAACGGGCCCCGTGCATGAAGAACCGTCCCCATATAAGGGCGTTTGTGAGCCCGGGAAGCTGCGAATCCGTACCGGTACAAACTGTGAAGCAATGTTACTCGGATCATGGACCGCCCAGCACGATCGTGTTTGCCACAATCCTAGATACCTTGGGACGAGATTCCAGCTCTTTTTGCCTTCAAACAGGCCCGCCGCACGAAGAACCGTCCCCATATAAGGGCGTTTGTGAGCCCGGGAAGCTGCGAAATCCGTACCGGTACAAAATGTGAAGCAATGTTACTCAGATCATGGACCGCCCAGCACGATCGTGTTTGCCACAATCCTAGATACCTTGGGACGAGATTCCAGCTCTTTTTGCCTTCAAACGGGCTCGATGCATGAAGAACCATCCCCATATAAGGGCGTTTGTGAGCCCGGGAAGCGGCGTAATCCGTACCGGTATAAAATGTGAAGCAATGTTACTCGGATCATGGACCGCCCAGCACGATCGTGTTTGCCACAATCCTAGATACCTTGGGACGAGATTCCAGCTCTTTTTGCCTTCAAACGGGCCCGCCGCATGAAGAACCGTTCCCATATAAGGGTGTTTGTGAGCCCGGGAAGCTGCGAAATCCGTACCGGTATAAAATGTGAAGCAATGTTACTCGGATCGTGGACCGCCCAGCACGATCGTGTTTGCCACAATCCTAGATACGTTGGGACGAGATTCCAGCTCTTTTTGCCTTCAAACGGGCCCCGCCGCAGGAAGAACCGTCCCCATATAAGGGCGTTTGTGAGCCCGGGAAGCTGCGAAATCCGTACCGGTACAAAATGTGAAGCAATGTTACTCAGATCATGGACCGCCCAGCACGATCGTGTTTGCCACAATCCTAGATACGTTGGGACGAGATTCCAGCTCTTTTTACCTTCAAACGGGCCCGCCGCATGAAGAACCGTCCCCATATAAGGGCGTTTGTGAGCCCGGGAAGCTGCGAAATCCGTACCGGTAGAAAATGTGAAGCAATGTTACTCGGATCATGGACCACCCAGCACGATCGTGTTTGCCACAATCCTAGATACCTTGGGACGAGATTCCAGCTCTTTTGCCTTCAAACGGGCTCGGTGCATGAAGAACCATCCCCATATAAGGGCGTTTGTGAGCCCGGGAAGCGGCGTAATCCGTACCGGTATAAAATGTGAAGCAATGTTACTCGGATCATGGACCGCCCAGCACGATCGTGTTTGCCACAATCCTAGATACCTTGGGACGAGATTCCAGCTCTTTTTGCCTTCAAACGGGCCCGCCGCACGAAGAACCGTCCCATATAGGGCGTTTGTGAGCCCGGGAAGCTGCGAAATCCGTACTGGTATAAAATGTGAAGCAATGTTACTCGGATCATGGACCCGCCCAGCACGATCGTGTTTGCCACAATCCTAGATACCTTGGGACGAGATTCCAGCTCTTTTTGCCTTCAAACGGGCCCGCCGCATGAAGAACCGTTCCCATATAAGGGTGTTTGTGAGCCCGGGAAGCTGCGAAATCCGTACCGGTATAAAATGTGAAGCAATGTTACTCGGATCATGGACCCGCCCAGCACGATCGTGTTTTGCCACAATCCTAGATACGTTGGGACGAGATTCCAGCTCTTTTTGCCTTCAAACGGGCCCGCCGCATGAAGAACCGTCCCCATATAAGGGCTTTTGTGAGCCCGGGAAGCTGCGAAATCCGTACCGGTAGAAAATGTGAAGCAATGTTACTCGGATCATGGACCCGCCCAGCACGATCGTGTTTGCCACAATCCTAGATACCATGGGACGAGATTCCAGCTCTTTTTGCCTTCAAACGGGCCCGCCGCACGAAGAACCGTCCCCATATAAGGGCGTTTGTGAGCCCGGGAAGCTGCGAAATCCGTACTGGTATAAAATGTGAAGCAATGTTACTCGGATCGTGGACCACCCAGCACGATCGTGTTTGCCACAATCCTAGATACCTTGGGACGAGATTCCAGCTCTTTTTGCCTTCAAACGGGCTCGGTGCATGAAGAACCGTCCCCATATAAGGGCGTTTGTGAGCCCGGGAAGCGGCGTAATCCGTACCGGTATAAAATGTGAAGCAATGTTACTCGGATCATGGACCGCCCAGCACGATCGTGTTTGCCACAATCCTAGATACCTTGGGACGAGATTCCAGCTCTTTTTGCCTTCAAACGGGCCCGCCGCACGAAGAACCGTCCCCATATAAGGGCGTTTGTGAGCCCGGGAAGCTGCGAAATCCGTACTGGTATAAAATGTGAAGCAATGTTACTCGGATCGTGGACCACCCAGCACGATCGTGTTTGCCACAATCCTAGATACCTTGGGACGAGATTCCAGCTCTTTTTGCCTTCAAACGGGCCCGCTGCATGAAGAACCGTCCCCACATAAGGGCGTTTGTGAGCCCGGGAAGCTGCGAAATCCGTACCGGTATAAAATGTGAAGCAATGTTACTCGGATCGTGGACGACCCAGCACAATCGTGTTTGCCACAATCCTAGATACCTTGGGACGAGATTCCAGCTCTTTTTGCCTTCAAACGGGCCCGCTGCATGAAGAACCGTCCCCATATAAGGGCGTTTGTGAGCCCGGGAAGCTGCGAAATCCGTACCGGTATAAAATGTGAAGCAATGTTACTTGGATCGTGGACAACCCAGCACGATCGTGTTTGCCACAATCCTAGATACCTTGGGACGAGATTCCAGCTCTTTTTGCCTTCAAACGGGCCCGCTGCATGAAGAACCGTCCCCATATAAGGGCGTTTGTGAGCCCGGGAAGCTGCGAAATCCGTACCGGTATAAAATGTGAAGCAATGTTACTCGGATCATGGACCGCCCAGCACGATCGTGTTTGCCACAATCCTAGATACCTTGGGACGAGATTCCAGCACTTTTTGCCTTCAAACGGGCCCGCCGCACGAAGAACTGTCCCCATATAAGGGCGTTTGTGAGCCCGGGAAGCTGCGAAATCCGTACCGGTATAAAATGTGAAGCAATGTTACTCGGATCATGGACCACCCAGCACGATCGTGTTTGCCACAATCCTAGATACCTTGGGAGAATGGGGCGGGGTGATGGAAAGCGGGAGAATGGAGCGAGGTGATGGAAAGAGGGAGAATAGGGCGGGGTTATGGAAAGAGGGAGAATGGGGCGGGGTGATGAAAAAGCGGGAGAATGGGGCGGGGTAATGGAAAGCGGAAGAATGGTTCGGGGTGATTGAAAGCGGGAGAAAGGGGCGGGGTGATGGAAAGCGGGAGAATAGGGTGGGGTGATGGAGAGAGGGAGAATGGGGCGGTGAGATGGAAAGAGGGAGAATGGGGCGGGGTGATGGAAAACGGAAGAATGGGGCTGGGTGATGGAAAGCGAGAGAATGGGGGGGGGTGATGGAAAGAAGGAAAATGGGTCGGGGTGATGGAAAGAGGGAGATTAGGGTGGGTGATGGAAATAGGGAGAATGGGGCGGGTTGATGGAAAGCGAGAGAATGGGGCGGGGTGATGGAATGCGGGAGAATGGGGCGGGGTGATGGAAAGCGGGAGAATGGGGCGGGGTGATTGAAAGCGGGAGAATGGGGTGGGGTGATGGAAAGAGGGAGAATGGGGCAGGGTGATGGAAAGAGGGAGAATGGGGCGGGGTGATGGAAAGAGGGACAATGGGGCGGGGTGATGGAAAGCGGGAGAATTTGACAGGGTGATGGAAAGCGGGAGAATGAGGCGGGGTGATGGAAAGAAGGAGAATGGCTTGGGGTGATGGAAAGCGGGAGAATGGGGCGGGGTGATGGAAAGCGGGAGAATGGGGCGGGGAGATGGATAGCGGGAGAATGGGGCGGGGTGATAGAAATGGGGAGAATAGGGCGGGGCGATGGAGAGCGGGAGAATGGGGCAGGCTGATGGAAAGAGGGGGAATGGGGCGGGGTGATGGAAGAGGGAGAATGGGGCGGGGTGATGAAAAGTGGAAGAATGGGGCGGGGCGATGGAAAGAGGGAGAATGGGGTGGGGATATAGAACGAGGGAGAATTTGGCGGGGTGATGAAAAGAGGGAGAATGGGGCGGGGTGATGGAAAGGGGGAGAATGGGGCGGGGTGATGGAAAACGGGAGAATTGGGCGGGGTGATGGAAAGCGGGAGAATGGGGCGGGGTGATGGAAAGCGGGAGAATGGGGCGGGGTGATGGAAAGCGGGAGAATGGGGCGGGGTGATGGAAAGCAGGAGAATGGGGCCGGGTGATGGAAAGCTTGAGAATGGAGCGGGGTGATGGAAAGCGGGAGAATGTGGCGGAGTGATAGAAAGCGGGAGAATGGGGCGGGGTGATGGAAAGCGGGAGAAAGGGACGGGGTGATGGAAAGTGGGAGAATGGGGCGGGGTGATGGAAAGCGGGAGAATGGGGCGGGGTGATGAAAAGCGGAAGAATGGGGCCGGGTGAAGAAAAGCGGGAGAATGGGGCGGGCTGATGGAAAGAGGGGGAATGGGGCGGGGGTGATGGAAAGAGGGAGAATGGGGCAGGGTGATGAAAAGTGCAAGAATGGGGCGGGGGTGATGGAAAGAGGGAGAATGGGGCGGGGTGATGGAAAGCGGGAGAATGGGGTGGGGTGATGGAAAAGCGGGAGAATGGGGCGGGGTGATGGAAAGTGGGAGAATGGGGCGGGGTGATGGAAAAGAGGGAGAATGGGGCAGGGGTGATGGAAAGAGGGAGAATGGGGCGGGGTGATGGAAAGCGGGAGAATGGGGTGGGGTAATGGAAAGCGGGAGAATGGGGGCGGGGTGATAGGAAGAGGGAGAATAGGGCGAGGTGATGGAAAGAGGGAGAATGGGGCGGGGTGATAGAAATAGGGAGAATAGGGCGGGGTGATGGAGAGCGGGAGAATGGGGGCAGGCTGATGGAAAGAGGGGGAATGGGGCGGGGTGATGGAAAGAGGGGAGAATGGGACGGGGTGATGAAAGCGGAAGAGATAATGGGGCGGGGCGATGGAAAGAGGGAGGATGGGGTGGGGTGATGGAAAGAGGAGAATGGGGCGGGTGTGATGAAAAGAGGGAGAATGGGGGCGGGGTGATGGAAAGCGGGAGAATGGGGCGGGGTGATTGAAAACGGGAGAATGGGGTGGGGTGATGGAAAGCGGGAAGAATGGGGCGGGGTGAATGGAAAGCGGGAGAATGGGGCGGGGATGATGGAAAGAGGGAGAAGAGGGGCGGGGTGATGAAAGCGGAGAATGGGGCGGGGTGATGGAAAGCGGAGAATGGGCGGGGTGATGGAAAGCGGGAGAATGGTGCGGGTGATGGAAAGACGGGAGAATAAGAGGGCGAGGTGATGGAAAGCGGGAGAATGGGGCGGGGTGATGGAAAAGGCGGGAGATGAGAATGGGGCGGGGGTGATGGGAAAGCGGGAGAATGGGGCGGTGATGGAAAGCGGAGAATGGGGTCGGGTGATGGAAAGCGGGCAGAATGGGGTGGGTGATGAAAAGCGGAAGAAGGGGGCGGGGTTGTTGTGATGCAAACATTATGCATTCACGTCTGTCTGCCTCCATCAAGTGTTCGTGTGTTTGAAGCGTGGTGGTGAACCGTGTGCAAGAATTTGTGTTTGCGCGGTTTGGATTTTTCGAGTGCGTGTGGATGATGTTTGGGCTTGGGCAGATATCTGAAGTGACAGCTCTACTCAAGATCTTTCCGACGAGCCAAGAATCGTCGCGATCGGAGCAATATCAAGAAAGTTACGAACGTTGGGGTTCGTATGCTTTTCTGTACTTTGGTTGTGGCGGACTATGGGAAGTTGTGGGGTTGACTCAATATGGGGTACAGACTTTTGGGGGTTGGGAATTCGAACCCATCACTGTAGAATGCTGCCATGTGGTTGGGTGAAGCCAAAACCAGGTTGGCAAGTGTGGCCAAGTGGGTTGAGGTGGATGGCATGAGTTGGGAAAGTGACAAATGTGAAAGTGGG